CGGAGTCCAAATTATAAACCATGCAGCAAGGAGTGCTCTCACTTTATTAATCCCCTGGAAAATAAATCAGTAACGTGAACGTACCACCACTTGGTTAACAGGACAAACTTCCCGAGGGACACAGGTAGTCATTCACCACACCTCGCCTTCCTCTAATTCCTTTCCTCACACTGATTTCTTTTTTTTCCTTCAAAATTGGTTTCATCCTGTTGAAAAATATTTGGTTTTATTTGTAAAGTGAAGAAAATAACATCCTGATTGAAGATGACCAAGGATCAAATTTTTGGAAAAGGTCAATTAGCTAGTTAGCAAAGACCATTGGTGGCTGGCAGAAAAAAATTTCAGGTAACGTATGTTCGCTAAAAAGATAAAAAGAATAAGCAGGTAAAAATGGGTGGAAAACCCTAGGGTTTTCTGTGACCTAGACAATCAAAAGCAGACAGGTGACTTTTGATTAAACTCATTTACTTGTGGAGTGAGCTACCCGGAGGCTCAAGAGAAGAGTCTGGTTTCCAGCAGTGTCCACGGCCACAGTGCAAGCTCAGAAGTTCTCCTCCTCTCGGAGAAACTGGAACACAGACGAGAAGTCTTTCTTTGAGTAGCCCTTTGCGCACATCATCCTGTAGATCTGATGAGCTTGACTGCCTAGGGGGATGGGGGTCTTTGTGTTGGTAACAGAGTCTTGTGCTAATCCCAGATCCTTAGCCATGAGTGTTGTTCCAAATCCACCCTGATAGTTATTAGCCGAGGGAACTCCATCCATCACCCCAGGTACAGGATTGTAAGTATCACTTGACCAACACCGTCCTGAGCTCATATTTAGGATTTTAGCCAATAGTTTTGGGTCAAGCCCTAACCTGATTCCCAGATTCATAGCTTCGGCGGTTCCAATCATACTAATAGCTAACAGCATGTTGTTGCAGATCTTTGCAGCCTGCCCGGTCCCAACAGCTCCACAATACACCACATTGGAGCCCATGCATCCCAACAACTCTTGGGCAGCAGCAAATTCTTCCTCAACTCCTCCCACCATAAACGTGAGGTTCCCAGACCAAGCAGCTCCCACACCACCAGAAACAGGGGCATCCATGAAAACTGCTCCCATTTTCTCAACTTCTTTGGCCAATTCTTTTGAAACTGTAGGATCAATAGTGCTTGAATCTATTAACAGTGAGCCTTTCTTCACTTTTTTTAGAATTCCATTTGCTCCAGAATAAGCTTCTATTGCATTATTATTGGTGGGCAACATTGTAATAATTCTGTCAGCTTTTTCAGCTACATCTGCTGGGGAAGACACTACCTGTTCACCTGCGTCTTGAAACTCCTTGCATGCATCAGGGAACACATCATAAATAATGAGCGGATAGCCATGTTTCATGAGGTTTTTTGCCATTGGATTCCCCATGTTGCCTAGTCCAATGAATCCAACTGGGGTCTTAGAGGCCATTGACCTAGAACACACCGCTGCAAGGCTGGCCGCTGCCGGCTGCTGCCGGCGGCTCCAGTACCTGAGGCCGGAGGCGGCTCCACGGAGTCGTAAGGAGGCTGCCATGCTGCCCCCGTCCCGCCTCCCGGCGGTGACCTCCGCCGCTCCGGTCTCGCCCACTGTCCACGAGTGTGCGCAGCAAAGCAGGCACCCACAACACCCGCAAGGGGCCGCGCACGCACGCCCATTGTTGTTGTTTTAAACCATCAAGTTTTGATATACTTTGTTATACAACAATAGATAACTAATAACATCAACAGGGAGGTGAACCCAAAACTGTTTCTCCACCAAAGATATGGAAAAGACCTGAAGACCTGTGCAATGGATCCCATAATTTTGATGTAAAAATAGTAAAAAAATGTTTTTACTTTTCATAGAGATACTTAAAACAGTATTCTGGGAGCATTTTATCTTTATTTTGTCTCAGGTATTTGAGACATAGCAATATACAATGCTGTCATTAGAAATTTTATTCCAAGCCCATTTACCTAATGTTAGGATAGTCTGCTTCCTTTATTTGATCCTATATTGGTGATCTTTGTATATCTGTGATCTTTAAAAAGTAACCATTTAGGCATCGCTTTTTCAGGTGATTGATAGTGAATAAACAAATGTCTTGGTCCTGAGACTGTAGATTGGTTCACTAAACATTTATTCCTAATTTTCTGTTTTTTGTTTTTTTGGGGGGCCTTCCTTTACTATAGAGGGTGAAAATAAAATGCTAAAATTTCCAGGCTCCCTTGCAACTAGAGTTGCCCACATGATATAGTTTTGTCCGAGGAGATGTAGCTGAAAATATCCTGTGAGATCTTCTCTTCCTGTATATATATTTTTAAAAGTCACAAGAGGAGAAAGCCCTCTTTGTCTTAGCCCTTTTGTTTTCTTCCAGATTGAAAACAAGAGAATTTGAGGATGATTTCTTAGAGACTATTTACAATGGTGTGGGCAGGGTGTAGGGAAAACCACAAGGGACAAAGCAGTACCCCAGGATGAGTATCAGAGAGTCTCAGGGGTAAAGGGAGGGATTTACTGGAAACAGAACCAGAGAGCGGTGTGTGCATGTGGGGGGAGTGCCTTGAGAGGTGCTGTGACCTTCGGTGGGGGACACAGACACTGTCTTCCCTCCATTTAATCTGTGTGTGCTCCCCTTTGGCTGAACCCCACTGGGATTCAGGAGGCAAGGTCTGCCTCTTGGACACAAATCTGGGTAGAAAAGAGTAGAAAGACAAACAGCATAAAAGGCCCCTCTTATTTATCATTATATCCCTGGTGTGTAGCACATGGTAAGAGTGCCTGGCACAAAGTAGATGAACACATTTTTAATGAATCCACTTTTTTTTTTTCTATCTTACCGTGCTTAAGACCTAATCTGTAATTATTACCAACCTCGCTCAGGCCCATTTATCCACCATAAAATGGCAGATCTGCAAGGGACTTCTTTTAACCACAAGAAAAGTTATTTGGGTCCCTGAGGCCAGATTTAGAAATGGCTCTTTGAAACAACTTTCGTAGATGTAGACTTTTAAAAGCATTAGATGATTCTATAGTTTTACAAAGTCTGTTCTCTAGTATAATTTAATTCCTAAATACCCACCTCATCAGGGCCTTCCATAAGAAATAACTTTTGTGTGCTACCTGTATGACTAAGTCTCAGTTTCCCCATCTATAAGATAAGGGTGATAATAGGTACTCAGCATTCAAATCTCACCTCCAAGTCTCACCTCCTCAGGCTTTCTAGAATATCACATTAAAAGAATAAAAAAGGAGTATCACACCCCAGATTACTCTCCAGCCCATTAATATATTTTTTCCGCATTGCAGTTGTTACTTTTTAATTGTAACTTATTTATTGTTTACTTGTAGATCGTTCGTCTTCTCCCAAAAGAATACTTGCTCCTTGTGAGCAATGACTTTGTGTTATTTGCTGCTCTTTTCCCAGCACCCAGAAGTGTGCCTGGGACATATGTTTTTTTGATAAATATTTGTTGATGGATGAATGAATAATACCACTTCTCGACCTCAGGGCTGTTGTGAATATTAAATGAAGTAACAATGAAATGCACCTGGCATGGTGTTTTCTGTTCTCTTTTTCCTTCCCTCACCTCCTGTATAGAATCCAGCAGCAAGTCAGCTTGACTTCACCCTCAAAACATCCCAAATTCTCAACTTCATTCATATCTATCACTCTAGTCAAGCCACCCTCATCTCTGACCTGGACTATACAAGTAACAGTCTTCTAATCTAGCTGATCTCCCTGCTTCCTGTCTTGCTCCTGTCCCTCTCAAACCTCAATCCAGTCTCCACAGCTAGGAAGATCTTCTAGAAACACAATTCAGATTATGTCTTGCCCCAACTTTAACATCATCAACAGCTTTCTAGACACTAGAATTAGCCCAAACTCCTTTACATGGTCCCTGCCAGCCTCCTAGACTTCATCTGCTTTAGGCTACCTGGCCTGTCTTTCTCTTTCTCATTCTCTTTTTCTCTCTCCTGGAATTTAACAAATTTCTTTCCATTTTAGCGCCATAGCACTGATGGATTCTTTATTGGAATCTTTTGCTAGCTGGCTCCTTATTATCATTCAGACCTGAGTTTAAATGGTCACTGAGAGGAAGTGTCACTAATTTAAAACGGTCATTTCTTATCACGCCCCCTTTTATAGCACTTAATACTATCTAATATTTCCTTGTTTATATGTTTGTTTCTTCCCAGCTAGGTTTTAAGCTTCGTGAGCGCAGAGACTTGTCTGTCATATTCATCGTCCTATCTCCAAAGCTAGAGCAATGCCTGGACATATAGTATATGCTTAATAACAATTTGTTGAATAAGTAAATGCATTGATTATGATGTGATGCCAATGAAACCTCAGACGATCTGGCTACAAATTCTAATAATTTTCCCAAGAATAAGAATTGCAGTTCCGAAGTTAGATACTGGAAGACTGTGGAAACCTGACAATAAAAGATCTGGAGCTGAAGGCTGGGGGCGAGCGGAGGGAATATATTAGAACTTTGGCCTTTTTCCCCCCTATCCAAGGACCCCAAAGACCTTGCAAAAGGGAGGCCTAGACTCTGTTGATCAGAAATTCCAGCTCAGCCACAATAGGTATTTTCAATCCAGGATTCTTCTCAGCCACTTCTACTGGATTGCAAATACGCAAACACCTTTAGGACCCCGGGTTCCTTTCTGTTTCTTTATGAATGAACCGGCTCTAGTCTGCGCGTGCGCAGCAACTAGTTCTCCCGCTCCACGTGAGGCCCCCCCCATCCCTCCAGCTAGTGGCCCGCCCTAATCCTTTCTAATAGACCAATGGCGAGCGGCCTGGGGGCGGAGCCGGGAGCGGCGCGGCTCTGTAGTTCCCCTGCGCGCCGCTCCCTCGCTTTAGTCTTGCTGTGTTGTGATCACGTGGCCTGCTGCGGGTGCGGCGCTTGTTTTGGTTTCTCTCTAGCTTGCCCCTGGCAGCTGCGGGTAAGGGACTTTTCTGTACCGGTTGCTGAGCCAGTCTACACTCTGACCTCTTCTTAGGGCTCTCTTAGCCCGCAGTTCTGCAAGCCCTTCCGGGCCTGCTCCTGCCGTGCCGCTAGTCAGCTATAGGAGGGTGGTTATCCTCGGATACCGCTCTGTAGGTGAGTCTCCGTCCTGGGGAGAGCACCAACGCACCGCCTCTTTGTGGCCAGAGGAGGCGCGCTGCCGCGGGAACGCGACCCAGGGAGGATGGTGGTATCGTTAGAATGGGAATGTAGAGTGAGGGTTGAAAGGATAGAGGAGTAAAGACTGGGGTGGTGGTAGTGTGTGGAGGGCTGCAGGAAGTGGGAGCATGTAAGGGTTAATGTGGGCTTGGCTGCAGGAACACCAGAGTAGTCCCCAGCGTTACTCTGGGGTGTAGGGGTGGGGTCAGCGTTTGATGACGGGCGCGGTTTGTGTGGGGCAAGTGTCAGGTGTTTAGGTGGAGGCAGACTTGATACTAGGGAATCTCGGATCTTCCCAGGGGTGGGATGGGGAAGGCGGCGGGAAAGGCTTCTTGCGGTGTCACTGAATGCATCCGGTGGCCAAGGTGCAGAGACCCATGGCGAAGAGAGTGAGGTTAGACTAAGGGAAGGCATTGTATGGGGCACTCACAGGCTAGGGTGCTAATTTTGGGCCCCCTTTAGTCCTGGGCCGCAGCCCAAAAGGACAGAGATATGAATGTGTGTAGCTGATTTGGATACAAATACCACTGCTTCCCACAGAGAAGACATCTTTGGCACATCAGTTTATGGAGGGCGAGTTCTTGGAAGGCTATGATCCTACAGTGGAGAATAGTGAGTGGACTTCTCCCCTAGGGGTGGGCCACGGAGGGCGGAGGGCTTGGTGCCCCACCTGACTCCATGATGGGATTTTCCTGGTGCCAAAGGGATGATTTAATTATACAATTTGATTAGACATTAAATCTAATCTCTTCTCTAGCAATCCTGTTCCATGAGTGGAGCTAGTGTGGATTTTGCAATATACTGAGTCCAGAATGGTGTAGATATAGACAATAAGAACCTGAACTTTGTCTCTCCAGTTTCCTGGGGAACTCCCTGGACCTGGTCCATCTATGTCACCCCCAGGGTTAAGAATGTATGGGGGCACATATCGCTAGCCCTACAAGGCACATCGCAGTTAAGTTTTCTTTTCAGCTTACAGCAAGATAGTGATTCTTGGCAAAGATGAGTTTCACCTACACCTGGTGGTTGCAGCAGGGCAGGTACTAGTTTGGGGTAGGGTATCTAAACGTGGCAGTTTAGTTCTGGGAGATGAAGTCTGGTAGCCTCTGTGGCTCATCTGTAAAGCATTTTAAAAGAAGCATTTTAGCATCTAGTGGTGCGCAGCACTCATTGGAGCTACTCTATAAATACTTGTTGAATAGAAGTAACTAGAGTAGGGAGTGCCCCAGGGAGGGTCCCCGAGATGCAGCCCACCAATCTTTGCCATCTGAGTGTTGTGTACTAGGTATTGATGTTTCTGTTTCTTGTCAGTATGAGCACAGCATTCTGCCCTATTCATTCATCATTGGGGTCCATGGTTATGTTCTTGTATATTCTGTCACCTCTCTGCATAGGTAAATGACCAAGGTTGTGAGTGGGGAACTTGCGAGGATCTGAGGGCTGTCCCAGAATAAGGTTATAGCTCTATTTCTTGTGTTTATAGCTTCCAAGTCATTGAGAGTCTGTACCAAAAGCTACATGAAGGCCATGGGAAAATCTGGTAAGTGGGCCTGGGGGATAGAGACATAGTGTGGGCATGAGACACAGGAAAGAACAGAGGCGAATATTGATCCAAGTCTGGAGGCCAGGACATAGGTCCTGTATAATCTGATGGGGAGTTGTCCAGCCCTGATGTGGAGGCTGGAGTCCATGGGCAATTGGAGGGGATCCTATAATAACTGCAGTTTCCTCACAGGCTGCCGATGGTGCTAATGGGGAACAAGGCAGATCTCTCTCCAAACAGGTATGGAAATCTCTGCAGCTCAAGGTGAGAGAAAGTGAGCTGGGCTAGAAATGTCAGGCTCTAGTTCTGGCTCTCCCACTGACTTGAACAAGTCATTTTATCTCTTTTCACTTCTAACTTGAAGGTTAAGACGAGATAATCCTTATAATGCAAAAGCTATAATTTTATATTTCAAGCCTCAGTCCTTGGCTTCTTTGTTTTAATATATCTTCTCCTTCCTCAACCCTCCTTCCAAACCTTGAAGTGGGATGTGTTACAAATCTAGATTCTATAAAGATTTTGCAGAGAACATGGGGACATCACTGTCCTCCATCTTCATGTCCCAGGTTTGTTTCTAGGGAGGTCCAGGCAGTTGAAGGGAAGAAGCTGGCAGAGTCCTGGGGTGTGATATTTATGGAGTCATCTGCCCAAGAGAGTCAGGTGCTGGGCCAGATTAGGAAGATGGTGGGAGTGGCAGTGTTTTTTCTTATGGCACTGCTTGGTGGTGGGGATGGTGGGGGAGTGGAGTATTCACCTCAGAGTTGGATGGTATTATTGGCAGTGAACTGACTTTTTTGCCCTGAATCTCTATCCCTTGCAGCTGGCTCAAGGCATCTTCACCAAAGTTATCTAGGAGATTACCCATGTGGAGAACTCCTTCTACAGGCAAAAGCGCCGCTGCCGTCTCATGTGAGCCCTCAGGCATGGGGTAGCTGCCTTGATTCTGCCCCTGGCACTTGCCAGGCTCCAATAGGGGCAGGTCCTCAGGGCTTCACAGGTATGGTTGCCAGCTGTGTTCCTGGCCCTCTGGGCACACAGTATGGTACCCTCATGTTTGCACAGTTTTCCCAGGCTTCAGTGGCCTAGTTGTCAGTGTTTACAAAGGGGCAAGAATGTCTCATGGGCTCTGGCCTCAGCTCTCTGTTTTTGCTAAATGAATTCTTATAACCTGCAAGGTTGCGAGATGAGTCCTGGGCATTATTTATTCAGGATCCAGTCGCCTATGTAGATTTTGGGTTTTGGCTGGGTGAAGGGAGCTGGGGACTCTAGAAGTGGAGCTGGCTCCCTGGGGTGACAATGTATATATGCAAATAAACTGAGAAATCTTTTTATTGTTGATTCTTCTGTAATGGGAAGAATTCAGGGCCAATATCTCCTTTTCCAAGGAGTGATTACTATGGTCTTTGGTGGGGATAAGGGTTAATTTATTTCCTCCTACATCATTCCTATTCCTTACTCCTCACTCATTCAGGACCTTTACCGTAAGACTTACTACTTGCCTTTCTCAGCTCTTTTCTACTGGGTTCTCTCTGTACAGGTACCAGTTGGCTGCCACTCCCATCCAAGTTTGTAGGCCCTCAAGAGCCCCTTAACTACAGAAACACTACCCTCTAGTGGCCAGCTGCCACTTGCTGGCCTAGCTTGTCTCCTGGGCCTTGGCATTTGCTGGAACTCAGAGTGGGTAGGATTTGGGGAAGGTGAAGGCCCTTCCTTATTCCTAGTGATATAATAATTGAGGAGTGTAGAGGCAGGGACTAAACTTTGTGAAAATTGTCTAAGAGAGTTGTGAGTAAAGTAAGAAATAATGCCTGTGGTGTGTATCAATCCCCCCATACACCCATGTCCCCAGTGCTTTTCATTAAAATGAATTTTCTTTGCTCTTTTCATACTTTTGGTGACTTTTTCATGCTTTTCACACCTTTGGAGTTGCTCCCTTTTTTAGGTGTCAAGGCTACTTCTTATCAACCCACCACCTCAGTAGGAAGATGGATATCTCAGCTAGGAAGGTTTGGTCTTATATACCTCTAGTTCCTGTGTTCTCCCCGCCCTTCCACCTCCACCCCCCAGCCCTAGGGCCTAATTGGCCAAATACCTCCTCCAAGGACTTCTCTGAATGGTATCCTTCACAGTGAGGGCATAGACTTCTGCCAACTAGGGGAAATGGAGTTATTCTGTCAATGCACTTAATTGGGGAGGATAGACAAAATCGAGGTATGATTTTTACCTGTTACCTTGTTAGTGCCTGGCTCCAGGCTAGTTGGGCTTACAGTTGGGAATTGTTTGCCATGCTAGTTTTTAAAAGTCCTGCCAACTGCTTTTGCATCTCTGATCCAGAATCTAAAAGAAATAAGGGCTACTGGAAGAAGCATATCCAAAGAGCAATCTCTGTGATTTAGGAGTCTCTTTAGGGTTGTCACCACAGTCTCTCCTTACATTAAAATTAAGTCCTTTTGTACATCTCACCTGGAATACATATACAGGTACTGCCATTTCCATGCGTTCTGGGATAGATTTAGAAATGTCTGAGGTTTTCTAGAACTATATCAAGCAATCTGAAGGCTTGATAGCAGTAAACAATAGTGGTGAATGGCTGGGTTGGAATACTCTTTCACTTAGCTGTGTAACCTTGTATAGTTACTTAACCTCTCTGAGCCTCAGATTCTCATTTATGAAGTATAATTAAACTTTCATAGGGGTGAAGTGAGAATTAAACTGAGGTGATATATGAAATGCTTAGCACAATTCCTCATACATAATAAACCCTTAAGAAATGGTGGCTATTGTGTTATTGGAGGTCTTTCTGGTGACAGTCTGCCTGTCGGCCTTTAGGTGCAGAGTAGGGAGGAGATTCCATTTTCCAACTTCTGTCTCTTGGTTTATTTATTCCACTATAGCAGGGACAGGTCTGGGGTTGCTGCTGGAACTTTTTGCTGAAATAGACCTGAATGGTCAGTTCAGGGCACATGATGTCAGTGTGTGGCTAGCACAGGACTTGCCTAGTCCTGATCCCTCATGACTCTGGCCAGTACGGATTTAGGTCTCCTGCACTGTCCAATATGGAAGCCACAAATCACATACGACTATTTAATTTAGTATTAAAATGAAAAAGTTTCTCAGTTGCACCACCTACATTTCAAAGTGCTCAATAGCTACATGTAGCTAAGTCACATTAGATAGTGTAGCTATAGTGCATATTAGATAGTGTAACTTTAGTGCATTTTCATCATTGCAGAAAGTTCTATTGGACAGCACTGTAAAGCCTTCCCAACAAAAATGGCCCTACAACCTTATTTGCCTGCCTTTTTCTCCACATCTTTCTTAAAAATCATCATCATCCCAGGAAAAACATGGTCATTGGTTGAATCAAGGCTCCACTTCTCACTAGAGGTGGTTTGTTCGGCAATTTTACTTATTTTAGCCTCAATCTCGGTATCTGTAACACGGACACAATTCTATGCAATTCATTACGAGGGTGAGGAATAACTAAGAATACATCAAGTATCTAACACATAGTTAATTTGTCTCCTCCTGACCATTCCTTGGGTACAGCTAAGGCAGAAAAGGCATTCCACTCCTCATCCAGACTTATGGGGGTGGGGTGGGGGGTGCCTGCAGGCAGAGATCTTGTCTAAACTAACAGTACTCCGGCCAGGTAGCAGCAAGGCTCCAAGGTACAGCTCCTTTGTTTACTAAAAAGGGGGACACAGGTCCTGAAGATCCGGAAAGATTGGGGTTGGGGGCACCCATGAAAGGAAGGGAAACTCCACATTTGTTTTGATGGGGTGTATATGTGTGGTGATTGGGGGGGTGGGGGTGGTCACTGACAGTCCCTTTTCCTCACGAGGGGTTTTGAGAATCAGAAGGAACGGCTCGTTCCGCTTTTCTTCGGCCCCCGAACGTGGCAAGAACCCACCCTTGGCAGCGCCAGGCGCCGTGCCTCACTTTCTCCATTTGCGGACTCCAGTTCCCAGGATGCAGAGCAGCGGCCAATCTCCTGGCTCTTCTTCCATCTCCCTCCCGGGAAAGACTGCCGCTGGCCAAGGCAAAGGAGCAGCTGGAGTTTCAGGGGCCGGTAACTCCAAGGGAACGGAACTAGAAAGCGGTCGGAGTCCTAGTTTCTCTAGCCGGGCGGCGAAGAAGGCAGTTCCAGGACCGGGACGAAGAGGAGGGGGGTTTCATTCCCACGTGTCTGCCCAGCGGCCAGCCCGGCGCCGTCGGGGTTAACGCGTGGCGGAGGGATCCCGGAGCGTGTGCGTAGAACTGCAGAGTCACAGCCTTTCCTCCGAGTGAGCGGTACCACTCCGCCGCTCCGCTCCGCTCCAACACAAAATAGGGCCGCGTCTTCTTCTTTCTCCCCTTCTCGAGTGGGGTTCCCCAGGCAAAAGACCCCCCCCGGACCTCGCACCGGAGGCTTCCTGAATCTTCACGACCGCTGCCGAGATCTCGGGCCAGGAAATAGCCCCTTCGCAGGAACCACCCTACCGGCCGAACAGGAGGCGGAGGGGGGGAGGCGGAGCGGCGCCGCGCTGCACTACTTTCCTCTCCGGTTGCAAATGGCTGCCTCGTTCCCCACTTTCCGCTCAGTTTCCTGACCCCCCGGCGCCGGGAGCCGGGGTTGGGCCATGCACCTCTAGGCCCCCCGCGATCACAGCCAGCCGGGGGTCGAGGGGGTGCCTCCGATCAGAGCCGGCCAGGTCGGGGGCGGGGCAGCTCCCGAGGCCAGAGGGGAAGGGAGGCGAGCGCAGGGCCTGGAGCGGCCGAAGGGGAGCGGGCAGAGGGCTCGCACCGCCCGCCCCTTCCTCTTCCTCGCCCACCTACCCTCCTCCCTTCCCCGGGGGGAGCAGAAGGTGGGGGGCTCGAAGCCGCCGAGGGCAAACGCTCGGGGTCGAGGAGCCTGGCGCTGGGTGTGTGTCAGGTTCAGCCCCGCGGCCCCGCCGGCTCCGCGTCGCCGTAGCTCGCGCGGCCCCGGGGCGCCGGCCCGGGCGGGGAGAGGGGCTCGGCGCTTCTGCGAGGGTCTCACGTTCCATCCGGGCCCGGCGCGGGGCGGCGCGGCATTCCTTCCGGGCTGCTGGGGAGGCGCCTCGACGTTCCATCTGGAGAGCCTCGACGTTCCGCCCGAGCCCGGCGCGGGCGGCCGGGGCGCTGGCCCGGCCCTAGGACTGAGAGGCCGCCCGACGACGCGGATGCGGAGGCTGCTCACCCAAGATCAAAGCCACCGGTGCTCTCTTTGTGTCCGCTCGGGATTCGCGGCCCTGGGGCTGTCCATGGAAACCTAAACTGCTGGAACCCGAAGCACAGAATCCCTCTTTGGCTTCTTGCTTTTTTTTGGAGAGGAGGGTGGCCACTCCGACCTGGATTTACCGTTCTTGGTCCCCCTAAGCCCCCCCGTGCGGGGGGCGGCTGTGATCGCTCTGGCGGTTGGAGGTCGGGGAGCGGCCCGGGCTCTGGCCATGTTCTCGGATGAGGATTCCTGGATCGCCTTGTGAAGAGGTGAGTGAAGTCCGCCCGGCCAGGGCCCAGAAAGGGTTGGACTGGGGGCATAGCCAGATGGACTATCTTGGCCAGAGCTGGCCTTTAGGTTGGAGAACGGGGTGCCAGGGCTGAGAAGGGTTCCTTTGGCAGGGTCTGTCAAGGGAACCTGAGCCAGTGGCGGGCGCAGAACTGAGGCCTTATGTCTTGGGGTGTGCCTCTTTAAAGACTGGGGGTTCAGGGAACCACGGGAGTTTGGGAACCCGGCCAGATCGCCTGTCTGCCTGTTTATTTTTGTGTTGGGGGGAGCTCTACTAAACAAGGACCCAGGCCCTGATGCCAGCACCAATCCCAGTTGGCTGCTTCTCTCTCAGGGTTCCCTGTGGGCCTTGAGAACAGAACAACTTGGGGCTGGTGGTGGGTGGGGGGAGGTGTACGGTAGGGTGCCACAGACTTACTGCCAGGTTGGACTTTAAGGTTGTTCTTGCCCATCCAGGCACCCAGAGCAGTCTCTGGGAGACTCAGGGAACCCTAGGTCCTCACCAGGCCTTACTTCACTGTGGAAAGGAGTGAGTGTGTGGAAACTGACTAGTGTAAGGAAGGGGGTGGCTGGGGCAAGAAGGAGGCGGGGCTGGGGGCAGCTCTGGCCTTACTGTTCAACTTTAAACTACCCCTGCCTGGCAAAGTGACCCTAGCGAGGCCTAGGGCTGTCTTAGCCTGCTTTGCTGCCACTCCTCTCAGGATGGACATAATCTCTAGGGGATTATAGAGGAGGCTGTTGAGATTTGCTCCCTGCAAATGGGGGCTGCGAAAAATGGCTTTTGTCTCCCGCTTTCTCTGAGCCTGTTGTGGAGAGCTGGTTGCCCATAAGTCCTTGGCCAATCCTGCAGGCACCTCCTCGACCTCTCCAACCCTTTTTGATCTGGCCCTCTGATTCTGTCCCATCCTTATAGAATAGGGTAGCCTGTACCTCTCTGAAGGAGAAATCATCTGATCAGAGCTGTTTCTGCAGAAGCCGGTGTTTCCAGCCCTGGCAGGAGGTGTTGGGGAGAAGTGGTGTGCATGTGAGTGCACGAAGGGTGTAGCATAAGCCTCACACCTCAGCCCTGGGCTGGGACAGCCCCTCTCACAGCTGTCATGCTGCCCAGCAGGGATTTGGCTGGTGTGTTTTGTCCCCCTCACTCCATTCCCTGCAACATACACTCATAGGCTAGATCTCTTTGAGCCTGGCTTTGGAAAGGTGAAAATAGGGGTTTTGCCCTTGAAAGATTTCTGGGTGGTAACCCCGAGGTGAGAGGTGGCACAGGGGTGTTGGAGTGAGGCTAGCTGTCACCCATCATGCTCTCTGCACCTGCCTCCTTTAGAGGGCCCCTCTTGTTGTCTGTCCTCAAAGAACTTCCTTAGGAGAAGCCTCT